AAGAGAAATGAAGCACAGCATAGTGGCAACTGGGGATTTAGCATGTGTTTTCGGAGCTGCAAATCTGTGTAATTTGACAATCTATAGTCTTAGTCTTAGTGCGTGGGAGAGGATGGCCTACCCCTAATGATACAATAGTCTGTTTCTATGGGAAATCCCAAAGGTTTGGTCCGTTGCTGGTGGAAGAGGACCACTTGCAAGTAAAAGGCAATGGGGGGCCTGGGGATTTAGCTCAGTGGCACAATGCCTGCCTGGCAAGCGCAAGGTCGTGAGTTCAATTCCCAGTACCAGAAAAAAAAAAAAGGCAATGGGCAGACCCATTTGTAGCTGAAAGGGAGTTGCCCAGGTTTGCTGTTTGGGGAGAAGGAGAAAAAGTTATTAACCCTGGCTTGTGTTCTGAAGCTGCAGTTTTTCTTTAAAGTACAATTTTTGAAATCTCAATTTCCTTATCTCCTTTCTACTTAGTTCTGTTTCTTCTATCCTACCTCAATCCTGAGTTCCATCAACAGATGGCTGGATGGATGAATGAATGAAGAAAATGTGCTGTAAATACACAATGGTACACTATTCAGTTTTTACAAAGAAGGAAGTGCTGTTTGCAGCATTGGTGGATATTATGGTAAATGAAATAAGACAGGAACGGAAAGACAAACTATGATCTTCGGTGTGAAAGCTGAAAAGCCAGACTCATAGAAGCAGAGTAGAATTGGTGGTGGTGGGGAGATGTCGGTCAAAAGTCACAAAGTCTAAGGTGTAGGTGTAAGTTCTGGAGATGCACAGTGCAGCGTAATGATTACAGTTTATAATGTATTCATGTATTGTTGATGTATATACTTGGAAATAGCTAAGAGTAGATTTTAAATGTTCTCACAACAAAAAATGGTTTATGCAGGGGTGGATATGTTAATTGGATTGATTTCATCATCCAGCTGTTAGTGTGTATGTGTGTGTGTAAGCATCCATTGTATTCCCAAAATATATACAATTTTTAAAGCGCGTTCTGTGAGTTCAGAGGTGAGAGATGGCGTCACTGTGAGCAGGGGAGCTTTTCCCTTCACAACAGCTTTCCTAGCCTGTGGCAGTTGCTGTGGTTGATGCAAGGTAAACCTAAGACATGGCCATGACTTTTAAATAATTCACAGTGTATTTAGAGCGGTGGTGTGGTGAACCTATGGCACGCAGGCTGCTTGTATCATTGAAAGCTCTGAAAGGTTGCCATCAGTGACTTAGAGCTTTGGAAGATGTTTCAGCCATTCCTTCCTCTGTATGCCGACATCTCAAGAACATGTCCTAGGAGTGACTTAAAGCAACCATGATTGTGTCAGATAACGTTTTTGAGCCAAGTCCTGGTTCTTTGTTTGCTTCACAGATCTGTTTCCTGCCCGTCCGGGCTTGTTCTGTATCTCAGAGGGCCACGCCTGCACACTGGGGCCCCTAGGCCAGCTGGCTTCAGGCAGGCAGCTTCACACAGTGCCATGCACCTACAGGGTAAAGGCTAGATGACCCATGTGTGGTTATTTTTCCCCTGTTCCCTCTTTCTTTGGGTCCTGTAACTGCGCACTCCATGACAACAGCCCTTGAGCAGCCCTTCTTTAATAGCTTCCCGCTCCCTCTGGGCTCCGGTACACACTTGGGCCTCCTCGTTGATGGAGCTAGGAGTGCCATGTGTATTCCCTTAACTTTGCTCACCCCTGCATTGAGTCCCTTCATTAATTCATTTGAGCTTTCAGGGCCAGTATCTGTTCACTGCCAGACCCTGACTAAGGCACTGGCTACAATGGTAATATTTGTAGTTACTGCACTGATGAGGTAAAGCCCAACCAGACTGGTCACCGAGAGGTTAGATCGTGCGTTATTTACCATTTCTTTCCCCAGTGCTTAGCAGAAGTGCCTGGTCCACAGAAGGCACTTGGTGACCGTTAATGAAATCCTGTGTGCGCTCCAGTAATTTGAAGTGTGCTCTCCCATTGTTCTTACAAAGCAGCTCTTTAGGGTTTGAGCATTTGCACAGTCAGGGTGTGGCAGGTCATGCTGAGAAGGCCTGCAGCACGTGTTTTGAGCTGTAATATGTAGTTAAATGTGAAGTCTGAGTCCATTATGTTATTTGAAATGCTCCTCCTTCCTCTCCCATTTATCACAGGTCTTTGGAAATAGTTTTCAACTTACTTCTTCATCTATCCAGTGATTGGATTTTTTTTTTTATTACTACTTTTACATTGCAAAAAAACCCCTAGTTGTTAGAAGTACTGTTATTATAAGAGAAAGATCTCTTGTCCTGCCTCCAGCCCCATTTTCCGAAGGTAATCATTATCACTGATTTGTTGGCTAGCTTTCCAGACCCTTTCTAGACAGATAATGTGTCATGCAGAAAACCATACATGGAGTTGATATTCTTCTCTAACTTGCATTATTTTTAAAGTTTGTCTTTTTAAAGTTAATTTACATTTAGATGCTTAATCTATCTAGAACTTTTGTATAGAATGCAGAAAGAATTTCTTAGCTAGCGGTCCCATTATACTTTCATTATTGATTTCTCTTTTCCTCACTGGTTTAAAGTGCCATTATTACTATATGGGAAACTTTGTAATTCATACTGGATCTCTTTCTGGTCTACAGTCTGTGTACATAAGTTCATGTGTATGCATTTAGTTTGTTTTGTTGTTTGTGGTCATCTTTTATTAATATCTATTTAATATCAAGAAATTCAGATTTAGGGTTATATTTGGGTCTAATGAATATCATAATTTTATTTTGCTGATTGAGGATACTTTAAGGAAAATAATGTTATTATTTTCATTGCTTTTATATTTAAGACTATAAAGTTGGCTCTAGAAATTAGTTTAGGGTTTTGTAGGGCGGTTTTGGCAGAATTGGGAGTCAAACCTTGGATCTTCGAGCTACATCTCTGTCCCCTATTTCATTTTTGAGACAGGGTATCTGTGAGTCAGCGAGTTGCCCAGTCTGGGCTGGAACTCGGCCTCCCAGAATCTGGGATTATAGATGTAGCCACTGTAGGTTAGGAGTTACTTTTAATCTGAAGAAATGCTTGAAAGATTATGAAATTTGAATCTAAACTTCAGGCTTTATATTATCTGAATGTCTATTATAAATAGAAGTGGGGTCAGCTCATATTAAAAACATCTGCACAGCAAAAGAAACAACAGAGTGAAAAGGTAAACTACAGAATAGGAAAAAAAAATTTTCTAGCTATTAGTCAGAGGACTAATTACCAGATCCAGCACAGCTCTCTAAGTTCCCGGGGGGAGGGATGGTAAGAGGATGGAGAAATAAAGGTAAGAGACAGAAAGCTGAGGTCAGGTGGAGCCCTTTCTATGTTTTTGTTTTTGGTTTTCTTTTTGTCTCTTTTTGAGACAGGGCCTCGCTCTGCAGTTCAGGTTGGCCCTGAGCTCACTTTGTAGCCCAGGCTGGTCTCGAATTCACAACGATCCTCCTGCCTTAGCCTCCCTAGTGCTGGGATTACAGGAGTGCGCCACCATGCAGGCTCAGAGCCCTTTCTCTGGGTGGGAGGAAAGGAACTGCTCAACCACTGTAAGAAATGTAAGCTAGCACAGTCACTATGGAAATTAGTATGGAGTGTCCTCAGAAAGGTAAAGCTAGAAATTCCATTTGCCCCAGCTATTCCCCTTCTAGGTATCTTCCCAAAAGTTAAAGAATCGTATTACAGTGATACATGCATACTCACATTTATAGTAGCAGTTTACAAAAGTTCAATCTTGGAAGCAGTGTATACGTCTATCAACAGATGAATGGATGAAGAAAATGTGGTATTTATATACTATAGCATAGAACTGTGCCATTAAGAAGGATAAAATTGAGAGTCATCTGTAGGAAAATGGATTCACTTTAAGACCATGGTGTTAAGTAAAATCAATCAGACACACAAGCTAAATATCACATGATATAAATAAAGAGCAAAATACAGTAAAGGATAGAAAATAGAAAGGAGAGAAATAAAATGGACCCTAAAGTTACAGCTGGCCTCATATATAAGCAACTTGGATCACAACTGGAATTTTAGGTTTAACTTACAACCAAAGTCTTGATTTATGATCTGAATGCTAGATACTTGTGCGGTTGTAAACAAAGGTTCACAATGCCATAAAAGTGTATGTAAGTGTATCTAAGTGTCAGTCTGAACCCAGAGGTGTGTGTTTGTGGACATGATTGTGGTCAGTGCTTTATATGATGGCTACAGTTACTACTATCAAAATGGCCCTAGAAAGCTAGAAAAGAAGCTAAGGAAGGTAAAGAAAGCAATCACAATCGAAAAGAAGAAGGAAAATGTGTAGAAATATGAGAATGTGTAGAAATATGAGAATATTGATATGACTGATCTTGCTAATGTGTACAGCATGTTGAAATCCACCATCTTGACAATGTTACAGAGAAAAGATTTGTATAAGAAAGCTAGTGTTGCTAAAGGTATTACTCAAATTAATAAGTCATGATCAACACTGTTAGATGAAGAAGGAAGGCTGTTATTAGTGTGGATAAATGAAAGGCAGATTATAGCCCATTTGAGTATAATTTGTGAAAAAGCTAGTGCTGTAAATGCAGATCTTGTAAAGGATAATCCATCAGCGAGTGATAATGGTGAAACATTTCATGCCATTAAAGAGTAGTTTAACAATTTTAAAGTGAGAACTTGGGTTCATGGTGTAACTAGGCATGGTAAAGCAGCTAGTGCTGATAAAAGGGCTGCTGAAAATTACATACACCACTTCCAAGTGATGACACAGAGCAATAGCTTTTGCTCTCATCAAGTTTTCACTGTGATTAAACTGGCCTTTTCTGGAAGAAAATGCTCAGGAGAACATACATTACCCAGGAAGAGAAGAAAATCCCAGGCTACAAGCCTACAAAAGATTAGGCTAACCTTATTGCTATGTGCCAATGCCAGTGGTGACGTCAAGATTAAACCTCTCTTGGTTTATCACTCTGAGACAGAAAACAGTCAAGAGGAATAGGCAAGGGGTCATATGGAGATCTAACACAAAACCCTTGGTAATAATAGTACTTTTTCTTGAGTGGGTCAGAGAGACTTTCTGTCCTGTTCTTCAGAACTATCTAAAGGACAGATGTTTACCACTCAAGGCTGTCCTCATCGTGGACAGTGCTCCTGCTCACCCACAATATTTGGAAGAAAAATTGACTGAAGAATTCCTGTGGTTCTCAATCAAGTTTCTCCCACTTAATAAAATTCCTGTACTGTAGCCTGTGGACCAGCCCCTTACTGTATAGCTAACTTTCAGAAGCTATACACCAAGGAACTGTTCTTGAAGTGCTTCCAGATGGTCTCAGATACAAATTTAACCCTTGAAGGGTTGTAGAAGGAACATTACAACATCCTTTCCTATGTGGGGTTAATTGAGAAATCCTGGGTCAGTGTCTCTCTGAGGACACTGAGGTGTCCTGGAATAAAGTGTGGCCTAAAATTATACAGGAGAGAGACTTTGAAAGCTGTGTAGAGGAGCCTGAGTCTTCAGCTAACCCTGTGGTTGATGACACCATCACTATAGCAGTGTCTATAGGCTTGTAGGTAGGTGGTGGTGATGTTGAAGAACCCTCAGAGGAGCTGTTTACAAAGGAACTTCAGCAGCTTCTGGCCGAGCAACAGAGAATGGCAGCTGAGGAGCTTTCTGGAGAGGAGGGTTAATATCAGAAATCAGTGCAGCAAAGTTCTTCTGAAATAAAGGAAATCCTGACAAAATGGACAGAGGTATAAACATTTGTAGAGAAGACCCACCCAGAGAAAAAGCCAACTGTAGCATTCACTTGCTTAATGAGAATGATGTCCTACTACAGAACAGTGTTAAAAGACAGAAATAGACAGAAATAGTTTTTAGTTCTAAAAAGGTTTTTAGTTGTAGTAAGCCAGAAGCAGACTCTCCCAAGGAAAGAAAGGACAGAGAGCCAGATTCTTGGTGTCCTTGTGGAAGGGGACTGTGTCCAAACAGTAACTACCATCCATTTCCCTCTCCCTTCCTGTAAGCCAAAGAGGTCAACTCAAATGGTGAGTACAGTATGGAATTGTTCTTTCTGGTAAACTAAGCATATTTTATAACTTTTTAGTGAATATGTTAGGAAAATTACAGGTGTTTCTGGTAAGTTATGTACATTATGCAACACTTTTTATTATGAAAAGGTTAGTTAAGGGGTGCTTTGGGAGGTTTGGAACACATTATGGGTATTTCCATTATCTTATGGAAAAATTAGTCTCAACTTAGAACCAGCTTGAGTTACATACAACCAGCCCTCATAGCGAATGGAGTTCGTAAGTCAGGAGTCTACTGTAGATCTTTCGCAGATGGGAAGGGGATGAAGGAGTGGGAGGAAGGGGAGGGAAAAGGGATTCAAAAAGAATTGGGATATGTTTTGTACATGTACCAGCTCCCCACAAGGAATGTGAATACTATGTATTGTAAACATGTATTAATAAAAATTAATTAAGGAAACAAAAACTTCAGAGAAAGGAACATTTTATTCATAGGGTTTGTGTCCTGCCGAATTACTAGTTTCTGTGGAGATCATTAGGGGCTCTCAAACATCCTACAGAGGATGTGCAAGAAACCATAGACAAAGATGATGGTCCAGTGTGGATATGGCCTACTGAATTTGTCTTTGGGGAAAAATTTAGCCATGAAGCTCTTATTTTCTTCTGTACTTGTCTTCAAGATAAATACTATAACTCAATTTGTTTTTATTTCTGTAACCAATTTAGTTTTAAAATATTTAGAAGTAAGCCAAGTGTGGTGGCACACATCTCTAATCCCAGCTCTTGGGAGGCTGATGCAGGAGGATTGCTGCAAGTTCAAGGCCAGCCTGAGCTACATAGTGAGACCCTGTCTAAAGAAAAAACCCAAAATTTAGAAGGTTCTATTTGTCTATCTCAGTTCTCCTTTGAGTGGGTTATTCATCAGTAATTTCTTGTGCTTATATATATGAGCTTTAATGGTTAGACTAACTAGTTATGCTCAAGGAGTATTTGTAATTTATTACAGGAGTAGATTTGTCCAAGATAGAAAAACATCCAGATGCAGCCAACCTCCTTCTAAGACTGGATTTTGAAAAAGACATTAAGCAAATACTCCTGTTTCTCAAGGATTTGGGTTTAGAGGATAACCAGCTGGGAACCTTCCTGACTAAAAATTATGCTATTTTCTCTGAAGACCTTGAAAATCTTAAGATCAGGTAAGGTTTTTAGAATGATTCTCACAAGTGGTGATGGGGGGTGATTGTGGAAGAAATTATCTCTGCTGCATAAGGACCTGCAGAGACAGTGAACGTGAATGCTTTTGTTGTTGTTGTTGCAGACCTTCCTTGGTTTAAATTAAATGTTTAAAACCATTCTTTTATTCACCTACCCATTGTTATTTTTTCAACGTACTGCTGAGTCAGTACTTAACTGTTTTTCTTTAGAAACTGGAGTAAGGTTTTTTAAAAAACATTCCATCAACAAAATAGCTAAGTTATCTAAGAGTGCATTTAAAATCATGAAAGCATAATTATAGTTTTTTTCTGTCCAATTTTTGATGGTAGACATTTGACATTCTCTTGGCAAATACTGTATAATTTGCATAGTCCTGTGTACAAGGTAGCTGTTTCCATTGTTCTTTTTTTAAGTAGTACTTTTGTAAACATTTTTTTACTTCATTTAGCAGTCAAATAATTACTGAATCTCTATGAATCTTTACAGTGAAAGTGTTGATGTGTGATGTGAGGGTCCCCCTAGGCCTTGGGAATGCCACACGGAACAAACCGAAGTTCTGTCCTGGAGTTCACATGCTGAATTCATTGTCACTTCCAGCGCTCACCTGTGTCGGTCTGTAGTCCTGTAGCAAGTTTGCCTTACTGCGTAAATCAAACACTGCACAGCCTTGACTTCTCTTTTGGCAGCCACATAAATCACCTGGGGCCAAATCAGTCGCTGTGATTTTCTTCATCTTCCCTTGCAGCGCTTTGCCTTGGGCGGTCAGTTCACACCTAGATGCCTAGTTAGTCTGCCTCTCGTCTTCCCCTCCCAGACTGTGTCCAACTTGACACTGAGCCTCCCCGCGATCCAGAGAGCTCTGCAGTTACTTGAACCCTCATAGCCCAAAGCATGTTCTCTGAAGTAGGGAAAAAATGGAAAAAGAAACCATTGCTTACTCAGACAAGTTGGGCCCTTATATAGTCAAGCACATAAAAGGCATGTGTTCAGGGGCAGGGATATAACTCAGTGGCACAGTGCCTGCCTGGCAAGTGCAAGGTCCTGAGTTCAATTCCCGGTACAAAAAAAAAAGATGTTCCCCTGTTAATGGGATATACAGTCTGGGGTAATAGAGATGGGCAATCACAACACAGGTAGAGAGAAAGACCCTAGGAAACTCACATCCAGTGCTTCTCCTCTGGGCTGCCAGGAACACCATTTGCTTCCCTGCCCATTCAAAAACCAGCTTGCCTTGGTGCTCAAGATTATTCCAAGGAGCGTAAATACTGGAGAGTGGGGATCATTTCAGAGCTGCCTCATAATTATTACTGTCTCAGTTGTACATGGGCGGCACAGAGAGCTTCAGTAACTTACTCAAAATTACACACAGTGTAACAGGAAGAGCTGGGCTTCAAACCCTGTTAATTTAACTCCAGAGTACTGTCTGTAGTCTCCCTACATTTAATTCTGAGTGAAGGAAACTGCAACTTTAAAGGAGCTTAAGTGACTTGTTCAAGATCAAGTTCACACAAGCTCTTAACCACTGAGGAGTGTTTTCTAACATAGGTGGTATGGTCTGGGGTGGTTTTTTTGTTTTGTTTTGTTTTTTTCTTTTTGGCATAGGAGTTGAACTCAGAACCTTGTGTTTGCCAGGCAAGCACTGTGCCACTGAGCTAATATCCCTGGCCCCAGTCTGGGATTTTTTTTTTTAATTTATTTTTTTTGGGGGGGATTTTTTTAAAACTATGAGAGTAAGCTATGGAACATTTTTTTTAATTACTTAGAATTTTTAAATAGGTATTGCATCCACATGTACTCAAAAGGATATACAGTGAAAAATGGGCTTCACTGAAATAGGCAAGGATATGGTAATCATTACTGAATGTATGTATAGCAGTCTTATTTTCTAGACAGCACTGATTTCATGTATTTTTTTTCAGTGAAAAAAGTTTCAAATGTGTAGAAGTTTAATTCTTTGTAGAATGTTTAAATGAGTAATATTAATTAATTTATTCAGGTGTTTTTATTTGGATGGGCCTTTTATTGGAAAAAATTATCACAATGTAGATAACAGTTTTTTAGTGTGAATCTGATATTGATTCTTGCTGCCAAAAGAGAAAGAGAGAAGTCATTCTTCCCTTGTACTTACTCCTGTCCTTTGGCCTTCCAACACCTATCCACAGCAAAAGCTTCCATTAGCAAGATTTTTGTTCTCCTTCTAGAATATTCTACGTAAGTGTCTATACATATATAGTAATTGGTAGCCCCTGCATGCACTATTCTGCATCCTGTTTCTTAGCTTCACTCTATCTTGAAGACTGTCTTTTCTGGCGCATCCTTTAACCCTAGCAAAGTCCACACTACAGAGCTGTCCACTGACAAACATGAGGGGCGTTTCCAGGGGTCACTGCCATGATGATGATGCAGCAGCTCTCCCGCACAGACCTCATGTCACATATGCTGTGGACATGTGTGATCTATAGAACACATGCAGAACTATACGACATATTTTGGAAGTGGAATTGCTTAGTCAGGGGGTATGTTCATTTGTAATTTTAATAGTTATTATCCTGTGTGTGAGTTTTCCTGTTTTTGTGTCCCCACTTACACAAAAGTATCAATTTCCCTATTATCCTCACCAGTACAGGGTTGTCAAACTTCATACATTGTGTTTCTATTTATTTTATAACTTTATGTTATCTGTTTATCTGTTACTTTGGAAGCTGTTTGGAGCAGCAAATGTGGAAACATTTCATGTTTGGAGTAACTTCATGGGTTGAGTTTCTATTTCTATTCCCCTTTTCTCTTAATTGTATATATCCCTTCCCAGTTTTAAATTGGGCCCACCCCTCACTGTCCCCCTCTTTTCTTTCTTCTTTCTTAAGTCACTTGTCTTTTGACTTTGTTTTGTTATTTTTTACTATGTAGGTAAATTTATCAATTGTTTCTTCTCAAGGCCTGCTACTTTTAAGGAGTAATACTATATTCGAATGTTCAGTTAACTATAAAGTAATTAAGTTCTGTTACATGGTATAGAACCCTCATAAGGTTCATTTAGATGTAGGCATGCGTAACCTCAGTTCTGTTTTGTCACTGATCATTTGATGATCTAAGACAGAGTTATGTGACTTCTGTGAATCTTTAGATCTTCAAATGTAATTTGGGCAATTTATCAGAATCACAGAATTTTTTTTTCTTACAAGAATTAAACAAGATGTCTTGATACATTTTAAGCATTTAATAGAACTATTGGCCCTAGGAGAGAGTTGTTAGGTATGGAGTGCTTCCAACAAGATATACCTAGTTTGAGATAGCTTGTGGTGAACACACTAGCATCAAAAATTTATGAGTCTTGTCTATTCAGATGATGTTATACATATAGTTTTGTATATACATTAGAAAAACACAAAAAGGACACTTTTGTGCTCTTAAAAAAACTATTGCTGTATTTTTAGATTTTAAGATTCAATCATGTAACAGTTAAACTTTCTACATTCACTCTAATTTTGTATCCATAAACGTAGGAAATTTTTTCAGTTAATAAAATATATACTGTTAAAAATTATTTATGAAAATACATAATAAAAATAGTAACAAAACTTTCTGTCAGTCACAGCCTTGTTTGAGGGTCTTCTTGGTTTATGGAGTTTTCTATTTCTTCTTTAGTTGGCATTTTTTTTCTGTTCTTAGCAAAAAAAAAAAAAATGTCTGAACAGCAGCTATTGAATTTTTCACTACCCAGTAATAATAAGTCATATTAGCTGAAGAAGGAATCTACCCATTAGTGGTTTTCAGAATTATTTCCTGTGTTCAAGTGTAAGTGGAAGTCATTCCAGAATTTGGTGGGTATTTATTCTGTTTTACCCGTATTTGGACCATTATTTCAAAATGTTTTTATTTATATATATTTTTTCCCTTTTTTTGTGGTATGGGATCCTTTTTGTAAAAAAAAGTTGGTACTTCAGAAAGTTAGTAGTAAATGTTTGTCATCTGTATGTTTACTGTTTCTCTAGGGTGGCTTATCTGCAGTCAAAAAATTTCAGTAAGGCAGAAATTGCACAGATGGTCAGGAATGCACCGTTTTTGCTGAGTTTTTCAGTGGAAAGACTGGATAACAGATTGGGATTTTTTCAGAAGGAACTTGAACTTAGTGTGAAGAAGGTAAAGATGGAATTTGTACATTTCCATGTCAGGTACACTTAGTAACTGTTAAATCTCATGTTTCAAATAAACAGCTCATCCTTATGGATCCTATTCATTCCTGCCATTGTACAGAAGTGATTACCCTGCTAGGTTAGACATAAAGCTGTGTCACTTTATAATGTTCCTTCAGGTTGCTTCCTTAAGTTTTGTTTCAGTAGGGTTTTTTTTCTCAAATAGCATTGAGTTTATGTAGGTCTGAGGTTTTCATCACTTTTTCTGATTGAATCATATTTTAAGTTTTAATTTTATATCGTACTAAAGCCTTAGTTTTCCAAACCAGTTAAATATGCACCTGTAGTAATAATCAGTGGTTTTGTTCACAACTATAGACGAGAGATCTGGTTGTTCGTCTTCCAAGGCTGCTGACTGGAAGTCTAGAGCCTGTGAAAGAAAACATGAAGGTAGGACCATTTCCAGCTTTTGAAAATTCAGTTTCTTTAAGGGTTCTCTTGGGGCTGGGTATTTAGCTCAGCGGCACAGTGCCTGCCTGGCAAGCACAAGGTCGTGAGTCAGATTCTCAATACCGGAAAAAAAAAAAGGTTCTCTCATGGAGAGAATAGATTTTGCCATTGTCATCTTAAAACTAAATTTCAAAAAAAGTTATTTCTAAACGACAGTAATAGAAACATACATAACAAACATGTAGCAAGCGGTTTACCTTAGTAAATGTTACATTTTACTGGTGTTACCTGAGTGAATTGCCTTGTAGACGCTTGAGCCCATAATCCCACAGTAATGGAGAGGCGTGGGGTGGGCCTGGCAACTGCACCTGTTGCCAAGCACGAGAGGCTGGCTGTGTCCGAGTCTCTTAGCAGTCTCTGAAAGTGCTTTGTGTGCCCACCGTGAGAGTCTGGGTCTCGAGGAGTTTGGAGGCCGAATCCAAGACTGCTATGAAGAGAGCGGCGAACGGCGCAGCTCTGTCCTTGGCACCTGTGCCATTTGCCAGCTGTAGTTCTGTCAGACTCTGCCAGACCTTCTTTACTGTCCTTTCACGAGAATGGTAGGAAGCCAAAGCAATTGACTAGTTAGTATACAAAGTTGGAGTAGTGTTTCAAATTATGTAAGGCCTATTTTCTGATGTGCTCAAGTGTTGTATACTGAGTCACTTCCTGGGAACATAGTTCCTGCTCTCAGGGAGCCTAGAAGATAAAGTTCAGAGCCATCTGAGCAATGGTTTGGAGGGAACACTTGATAGTAGGAAAGTACATGAAGGGCCTACGTTGTTTAGTTTGATCAACTTTCTTGAATTGGACGTGTTTTTCAGTAATATATATATGTGGATGTGCTTCGGAGCAGAAGCTCAAGAAGTACTTGGAAAATCTTAATGCTGCTTTGTTTATGGCCAGCCTATATAGACACCTTCCCAGCCTGCCTTTATGTGCTATTATTTCATTTCAAATTGGATGCTCCTTCCGGTGATCTTTATAGTGATATGTTGCTGTGAGGACCTCATTCTCAGGAGAGGGTTTTCAAATTCAGGTCACCCTAGTAGGAAGCTGTAATCCCCTGAGGGCTTTGACTTAGCTGTTTCCAGGTTTTAAAATGTCATTTTAGAAGAATCAGTGTGTCCTCTGGCATAGTACCAAGACACTGTTTCTACTCATGACTCAGAGCAAATTTGCCTTCTTTTAGGTCTATCGTCTTGAACTTGGCTTTAAACGTAATGAAATTCAACATATGATCACCAAAATCCCAAAGATGCTAACTGCAAATAAGAGGAAACTGACGGAGACCTTTGATTATGTGCACAATGTGATGAACATTCCTCACCACATCATTGTCAAGTTCCCACAGGTAACACAGCGACAGCTCTGGGTGACAGCTGCCCTTGTGCTGCGTTTGGGTTGTGCACAACACGGGCTTCCAGCTGAGGGTACTCAGCTGCAGCTCTCGAGAAGAACCACTGATTGCTCAGTGTTGCTGTAGTTTCTACAAACTCCTACTTCTGCCTGTTGCAGTCAGGCAGAAGAGTGTAACATAGTCTCTCGTGTTTTCCTTCATTTAAATGAAAAAGAGATCGCTTTCTGTAAACGTCCTTTTAATGCCACATGTACTTTCATTCACAGTCTGTCTAAATCCATGCACTAGCAGCCATATTATAACCTTCCACAAAAACATACATTTCCAGCTTACCATAGTGTGGAAGGTGTAGTTACATTTTCTAAGCTTATCAGAGTTCCCTGTTCTTACCTCCTAAGTGGCATTATTTGCTGTTCACAGAAATACTGTTTCAAGGCAGGATCTTTGTCTGATTCACACATGGCCAAATCCCTAGTGCCTGAAACTACACCTGGCACTTGGTAGACACGCAGTACGTATCTGTTGAACAAAGAAGTTATTGAATTTCATCAAAATGAGCCTTCTTTCCTATGAGTATATAGTGGATAAATGACAGATTAAAGTCCATTGATGTAGTCCCTCTATTCAGCTCACTAGGCATGTTCCTGTTGTGATATAAAGGTGGGTGAAAGAAATACGAACTTAACACAACTTCTAGAACGACAGCATTTGATCCAGTTCCTTCATACATAGCAGTGTTTTATTTGCCCATCATATTATGAATAGCCCTTGGGAGCCTACAGTTGCATGAACTTGTCTGTAGAGCAATGTCTTAGTTACTTTTCTCTCATTGCTGAGACAAAATACCCAACACCCAGAATTAAGGAAGGAACTATAGCTTACAGTTTGTGGAGGTTTCAGCCTATAATCAGCTGGCTCCGTGGCAGGGTGGCATGGCACAGGGGCATGCCTGGCACAGGAAAGGGAACAAGAGCAGAAAGGAGGGAAAGTAAGCATCTTTTCCCTCCTTACATCACTATCCGTCCATGCCTACACCATCTCTGCCCTCCTCTTCCACAGCTGAGGATGTTCACAAAGGATGGACCCTGGCTCCCTACTCAATCACTTTAAAGTTTAAGGTTGAACTTTCCAACTTCTCAAGTTGACACATAAACAACATCCTAGAGTAGCAGGAGCGTGACCTTTTCACCCCCAGGATATAGAACTGCTGAGTTACCTAGTTAAGCTTCTAGACTCCTCAAGTTGACACAATATATCAACCATAACAAGCAATTAATTGTAAAGTAAGTAATCTTCAACTAAAAAGCAACGATAGTTTGTTTTTCCCTGGGTTAGTGGGTAATTCAGTGACAGTTAATCATGATAAGAAAATCTGATCTTGTTCTTTCCAAACCCTAGTAGCCTTGTTCTTTCAGTTCATAATGGATCATCCACCCTGGGCTAGACTCTGGATACTAAGGAAGCAAACATCAGACAAGACCTTTATCTTGTGGAGCTTCTAATCCAGAGTAATAGACAGAGTTTAAAAATGTGATTGCTTTATTTAATGGTAGAATCTTAACAAGAAGACTTACGGAGCAATTAATTCAATGTGGAAGAGGTAAAAATAGAAACCAGAGAAATAATAATAGTTGTTGAGTGCTTACGGTGTGCCAGCTCTATCTTTACCACTCTACTTATATTAATTCATTATAATAATTCTCACGACCACCATATGAGGTACTGTTACTGTCCCTGTTTTACAAAAGAAGAAAGCAAGCATAGAGGAATTACTTACATTTCCAAGGTTACTGAGTAACAGGGTGCAGAGTGGGGATTAGAACACAGGCATTTAAGTTCAAAAACCCACACCTACTAGGTGTGACGACGCACACGTATAATTCTAGCACTCAGGTTTAGGTAGGAGGATCACTCTGAGTTCAAGGCCAGCCTGAACTGGCCTCTAAAAAACTAAAAAAAAAAAAGTAATAATAAAAATTTTAAAAAGTAAAAAACCACGCCGTCTGCCAGGGTGTGCTGTTGCTCTAGAAGGGATATTCGCCAGTGATGAGTGGCGCTTGGCAAGTGGGGAGAAACCTTCCTAGTAGATGCAGCTACTATAGGCTGACAGATGCATCCTAGTGCTTTGTCTACAGCCCTGTCGCAGAACTGTGGCTTCCAAACTGGGATTCATAGACTCCTAGGTGTGTGGGCAGTATTGTCGCAAACCAAACAGAAAAAATGAAAAGCTTATTTATAGGAAATCACAATTAACTGACAGGCTGTGAGAAAAATGATATAGACTTAAATTTTTGGCAAGTGTTTTAAAACTTGGTGATATGAAATTAATACCCTGATGCAGTAACGGTTCTGGTTGGCAGATATAGCTTATGACTAATTAAAAATAGAGAACTACAATAACTTTGTTACAGTTATTTTAAAGAAGGGATGATAAGCGGTGAAGGAAAGTTAAAAACAGTTTCAGGGTAACATGCGTGAGGGAATCACTAGCGTAAGGAAGGAGGTTGTATTCAGGAGCCACCTTGTCTCCCCTCCCACTGTGGTTTCCTGTGAAGCCCAAGTGGGGGTCCAACCTCAGGAAAAAGGATCAGTAACTTACAGGTTAGGGTTTCTTTTGTTTTCCATCCCTGAGACTAATGCGTCATTAACAAGATGAAATTTTTGTGACAACGGTGAAGTGGTCCGTGGTGGTCTGTACTGCTGCCCCGTTTTCTTTTTAAAGGAAAAAAAAGCCTCAATCTGAGCTTTGGACTGAGAAGAGCACAGAATTCCCTAATGATGAAATAACTCCAGCCTTTGGAGAAGTGTACTACTAACATGTAGTCACAGGCCACAAAATGCCTCAGTGTTATTACACTTAGGAAATCAGCTCTAGTTTGCAAGCCGCAGAGTCACTTGTGGTTGTGTCTGTATGTTGTATGATAATTTTGTAAGCCAAGAGTCACTTTTGTAAGCCTTGGAGTCGTACTTAAAAAACTAAAACAAGCATTTTGCATCTCACAGTAATAATGTGGTAAAGGGAATTTAGTTACCAAAATGAGAGCAGAATAGGATGTCATTTGTTTTGCAGGCAGAAAAAGATAATTTTGTTCCAAAAGCACACCAACCTGGTGCTGAGTTAACGCCATGCACTTTGTTTTGGTCATCATTCCCAAAGCAAGTCAGTTTGCAGTACAATGTCCTTTCCAAGAGAGCTCTTGGTATTGTTTCCACTCAAAACTGGGAAAGGCGGGGAAGGGTGGGAGTCATGGGCCAGGCTGAACGTTCCTGCTGGAGCGGTTCCTAGGCTTCACCAGGAGCCTGCTGGGCCTCCCTCCTGTCTTGCAGCAGGTTGTGCAGACAGTGCCTTCTCGATTCCTGCCCTCTCCCTGCTTAACCCGAGGCTGGTAGGACACACCTTCCCTAGCTGGTCTGCAGACGTCAGATTCATTTCATTGTGATTCTAATTGGGAAGCAGCAGAAATTTTAAAAGTTGGGGGAGCTCTGCAGATTATGAAATCTAAATTTTTTTGGTGATGTACATTTTGATTTCAGACATTGGTTCCTACATTTAGAGGATAACAGAATCATCTAGATGGGGTGGTAAAACAAATTTCTGGGCCCCACTCCCTGAGTTCCCAATGAAGTAGTATGGGGTAGGTGCTGAGGATTTGCTCTTCTAACATACTCCCCTCTGTCTCGGGCATAGTCCATGTTCTTTGCACACTGTGTGGCATTGAGCTATTTTGTTATTGTTCTCTTTGTTGCCTTTGAGTCTCTTTTTAATCTTAATTGCTTATGCAATCATTTTTATATGCTAGGCATGTACTTGACTGTAGATTTATACTACCAGACCCTTTAATCGTTTTTTTTTTTAATTTTTATCTTTTAATCATAATTTCTTAACAGAAATACAGTATGTATTTAAGTCTTACGGCATTACTCACATTTACTGAGGATGTGGTCAATACTTTGTATTTATTTACTTATTAAGATAGTCAAGTATTTCATCACTTATTGTAGTGTTTTTGAAAACTTTTTTTTCCAGGTATTTAATACAAAGCTGCTTAAAGTCAAAGAAAGACACCTGTTCCTTGCCTATTTAGGAAGAGCACAGTATGACCCAGCAAAACCTAATTACATCTCTTTGGACAAATTAGTATCCATTCCTGATGCGGTATTTTG